CTGCCACAGTCACTTTGAGGATCATTATGCTATGTCAAAACTTCCTTTGGGGTGCTAAGAAGCCTTTGGTAGCTTGGAAAGATTTGAGTCTACCGAAAGCAAAAGGGAGACATGGTTTTAGAGACATAAAATGTTGGAATTTAGCATTGCTTGCAAAATCCCTATGGAACATTCATGCAAAAAAAGGATACACTGTGGGTTAGATGGTTAACTATATCTACCTACGTAGTGCATTTGTTTGGGAGAAGACAACCAAGAAAAATGACTCTCCACTTATCAAAAAATTGCTTGAAATGAGGGACGACTTGATGCAGGTCATCGAGAACGAACAATATGCAATAGACAAATTGTAAAGCTGGATTTTTGGGCAGATTTTCAAAGTTGCCCTAGCATATGAGTAGGACTGTCAATGGATTTGATTTTGATCCAAATCCAATGAAATTAATGGGAGAAATATTTAAGGTCTCAATCCGATAATTTGATCGAGATCCGAATTCAAAAATTCATTAATTAAATGAATTAAATATAGATATAGGTCAATCCGATAACAACCCAATCTGATTTATTATAATAATATATTATATTTTTTATATTATCGCATAATTTATGACACTGTTTTTTCCATTTTGAAAATTTTATTATACTTTACACATAATTTTTAAATAATAAATAATTTAATTTAATAGTATGATATTTTTAATTGAAAATTTTTAAAAGATTTAATTTTTTATTAATTAAAATAACGTAAAAATAATAATTAATTAATTAATTAGATTTACTATAGCAGTTTGTTTTCGAACATAAAAAACTAACAATTAATATGTCCAAAATAATTTACTTTGTTCGAATTGATATTGTTTGTAATTAAAATCTTATTGAAGTTATGATTTTTAATGAAAATAATAAAGTAAACTAGTAAACACTTAAAATTGCCAAATGATTATAATTAGTAATCATTGTAAGATGAGAATCATTTAAAAACCTAGTAGAGGAAAATCCTTTACAAATCTAGTATCCTACATTGAAATATCACTAAAACATTCCAAGAGGAGTCTCCTTTAAAAAGGAGTTAAAAGGAGCACTACTTAGAAAAAAATAATAAAAATAATTGATTTGGGCCTTCTAATATAATAAGTGAGCCCATCAAGATAGCTCAAATATTTTTTAAAATATAAATAAATAATTAAAATCTTGTTGAGACTATGATTTTTAATTAAAAAAATAAATAAAAATTTTATTTTTCTAGTCTTTAAATTTCGGATCGGGTCATTTGATCTAATATTCGATGACATAGCTAATCGGATATGGATTTAACATACAAATATCCATCAAATTATCGGATCGGATAATTATTCTTAACGGATAGGATCGAATTTGAGTAGATCCGATTCATTTACTGCCCTACATATGAGCATTTCAGACAAAAAGGTGAATAGAAAGCATGGGTAGCTGATGTATGGAAATCCTTTATCACTCCAAAGCACTCGTTTATCCAATGGCTAAGCGCTCAATCTAAGCTCCTAACAAAATACAAGTTTGTGTACCTTAATATCGATAGAACTTGTGATCTATGTGAATCGTCAGCTGAAACGGTTCAACACTTATTCTTTCAATGTTCATTGAGCTCATCCATTTGGGTGCAGATAAGATCATGGCTTGGCATTACTAAATCAATGACTACGATTGGTAATGCATTGAAGTGCATTAAAAAGAGGCTCGTGGGACGTTTTGGCATAGTAAAGTGAAGAAAATTGCTCTTGCAAGTACAATTTACTACATATAGATTGCTCGAAATAGGAAAAAATATTTTTGAAGATTTTAAGCCACATTTGGATAGCATAGTGAGATGGATTAAAACGCATACATACAAAGTCATGTTTTTTTTTGTACCTAATGTTTTGGTTCATTTTGAGTTTTTAATGTTGGGTTGATAGATTTTTGTCATTTGTACATCTTTTGATTTTTGATTTGTTCGGATATGTCCAGTATAATTGTACATGAATTTTTTATCAATGAAATTTACATTTACCAATAAAAAATATAATAATAATAATAATAATAATAATAATTTGAGATATCATTCAAATCTTTGGTACAGTAATAGCATGTGGGTGCGATGCTTTCTGCCTAAATTTAGAGTGCTCGGCCTCTTTAAAGGGCAGAATATGGTTGGACAAGCAATTAAAGTGGTAAAAAGGGGAAAAATAAGGATAAAGATGAGATGCAACCATTAGCAGCAGCCCAACTAAGATAACTCTTTGTGCATATACAATATCCAGTTGAGTAGAAGAGTGTACTTTAAACTTTATAGAGTAACTGTTGTAGATATTTTGGTTGAAACCCGCATTCTTAGCCTTAACAGGCTACCACTTTCTAGACAGAAATGAATTATTTATGGTAGCAGATATAATTATTAGAAGATCTAAAATAAACGTGTTACTTTAGCTGTAAACCTATAAACCACACTTGTAAATTAAGATCTTCATAACGCAATTTTATTTCAAAACAAAGTAGCTCCTTCTCTCTCCCCTTCTTCGAAGTCCAATTCATATTTTTCGTAGAAAAATCTCTGATAGAAAGAGTGACGTTATAAGTACAAACTAAAATTGATCCTCATGTGAGATGATGCTAAATAATGAAGTTAATAAAGTTGATCTCATATCCAACCATTTAATTGGAGTATTGTTTAAGTAATTTCACCTCACAGCACCCATCATATCACATGAGGATGATCTTTGTTTCGTACTCTTAGGGTCCGTCTGATTGTAAAATATTGAATTTGGGTGGAAAGAGAACAAATTGAAGGAAATTGAATTGCCTAGAATTTGTTTTGGGGGGAATTGTTAATTATTAGTGTTTGATTGATATAATTTTCCACCTGAAAAATGTTAAAATAAAAGTATTTTTTGGTCTTCGTTTGATTTTGTTTTTCATGAAAATTGTCAATTTAAAAGATATACACTTCTACAATTGTTCCTAAAATTTGTTTCAATTGCGAAAAAAAATAAAAATAGTCCAAAAAATCTATATTTTGATATTCGTTTGACTTCGTTTTTCATAAAAATTATCAATTAAAGGAATAAAATTTTTTAAAATTGTTGATAAAATTTATTCCCATTGCTGAAAATAAAATAAAAAATAAAAAAAGTGCTGGAAAACCAATTCTCACCGATTTGGTGAGAATTGATTTTCCACCAAATCATAGAAAATGCACATGTGTAGGGAAAAGATAAAAAACGAAATATATGGAAAATTTTTGCTATCAAACACACAAAATTGGTGGAAAATGAAATTTGAATTCCATTTTTCATGGAAAAAGGGTCAATCAAACATGGCCTTAGTGTAGTTGCATGCTCAAAGTTAAGAGATTCCCTCCACCTCCCCCACTCCGCCCCGGCCCCGGGGAAGGCTGGAATTATTAAAAAGAAGGTGTCATATAGAAGAGCTGTATTCCTATGCAAAGTTTGTGGCGTGTTGTCACATCTTGCAAATTATCAAATAGATCATAGCATGTCTAGAATATCAGACACACTATATTATCTACAGCTATCGATATTTTATAGCATGAAAAGCCCTTCAGGCCATGCTCAATGTTCCAGTATGGAACTAACTTGAGGTTTTTTGACTGAGTTTGGATGCATTTCCTGGTTTGTCTTTGACACCAACAAAACTTGGAACCCATATTAGGTAACACCTCTGTATATAGTTATATGTAACTATGTGTTGTCCCTCGGGACATAATCCAGTGGTGTAAAGGATAGGAGTGAAATTATCTCATGCCTTGCTGGTAGTCAAAGTGTGGGGTTCAATTTCTGATATATGAAATTAGACTCCTTATAGGCGCAGTGTACTGACAGCTCTCATTCACTGACCTGTTGGGGGCACATCTTGATATTTACTTCCCTCACAAACCTCTAGGGGCGGGACGGCGGGGCCCTCAAGGTTGGAGTTCAACCTCCTTTTTTTTTTTTTTATGTAACTGTGTTTGCGAGCTTTTTCAAATGCAATACAAAGGACAGTTTGTTGCAAGTACATAAAAAAATTTTAACAGAATTCTTACAAAAAGACACTCGACAATTTTTTATTGGTTTTTGACACAACATACATAGAAAATGGACCATACAGGTGTTGTGCTGTCAATGCAGCATCTGTATCATTTCTTTCAATAATTCCTTGTATCTATGGAATTATTCTACAAGAGAATTGGAACCTGGAGTTGGACTCTCTCAAATGTCCACCTTGGCACTTTCACAATTAAATATTTAACAGCAACTTACTAGAAAATAGAAATTTCATTTTTCCTTTCTCTCCATGTCACCCTAGATAGGAAACTTCTTCTTCCCTTCATGGTCTCTGGACCGACGACCCACCCTGTGCTGTCAAGAACAGGTCGGACCCATGTTTCATTGGAAAGCCTAGGAGAGGATCCTAATGCAGTAAAAGAAAATTCATATTTTAAAAATTTTAAGCTCCTATTTGATAAGTATTATTTTCAAACTCTTTTTTTTATAAATTTATTTTCAACTATGCATTTATAATAAAATATTCTACACGTAAATTCAAAACTTTTTTCTACCTTTTAACCTCATATTCTCCTTAAAATTACTATTCAAAACTCTATTGTTCTAAATACTTGTTATCAAACACAGGATAAGAACGCTTTAAACCCACATGATATTCTCACAAGATCAAGATTAGTATGAAAATACAGTTTTTTTTGGTCATTTAGCCCCTATTTGGTGGCCATTTTTTGAAAAAATATTGTTTTAAATAGTGATTTTGGAAGAATGTGTAGTTCAAATGTAGGAAAAAATTTTGGATTACGTATAGAGTATTTTATTGAGTGAATGTATGGTTATAAATAAATATGTAGAAAAAGAGTTTTGAAAGAATAGAAGACAAACGGGACTTAATCTCCAAAAGTTGATCCACCATCTAAACTCTATATATTACCCCATGTGCAACCCTCGAGAGAAATTATCTAGACAAAATTCTGAACACTTCACAAAGTGAGAAAATGGCTAACCCTTTATCTATAATCATTCAAGAATTCTTGAAAAAATTTCACTCAAGAAGATTGATACTCCACGCTCCTCTTTATAGTTCACCTCCCGTGTCAACTGTATCAGCACTTTCTCCATCAATTGCAGTATATAGGAACAATACATTCGAGGCAAATGTTGGAATTGTCTTAGCAGTCCTCTTGTGTGCCTTAATTTGCTCACTTGGATTAAATTCCATCATAAGATGTGCAGTAACGTGCTCGAGTTTAGCATCCCATGACGACACCCCGTCTGCGCGCCTAGCCAATACGGGAATAAAGAAAAAGGCCCTCAAAGCATTCCCTATAATAAGTTACACATGTGATCTTAACCTTCCAGGTTTGGACACAAAGTGTGCAATATGTCTCTCAGATTTCGCTACAGGAGAACGTGTTCGAGTCTTGCCTAAGTGCAACCACGGATTCCATGCCCATTGCATTGATAAATGGCTGAACTCACACTCTTCTTGCCCAACTTGCAGGCACTGTCTAGTTGAAACTTGTCAAAAAATAGGAGGATGCAACCAGACTCGTACATCTTCGGTAATCCGACCACCCCAAGAAGTTCTTATATGGATTGCACCTTTTCAACAAGAAGGTTTGATACGAAATCATCACAGTCAGGAATATTTAGCTGATTCTATCAGATAAGATGGGATTATGGGTTTAAGTTTTATTCCTTCTTGTTTGCTTATTTTTAATTTCATTAAGCATACAAGTAGAGTCGTATAGGAATAGGAGGAAAGTGGAACATTTTGCACTGATCGAGTTTGGAGTGGGGATAATCTCAGTATTGGTCCTTTACAAAATTAGTTCTGCAAATTATATATAAAATTGTATTTTAGATTTTCTTTTCTGCTTAAATTCTCATTAGTGACTTTTGCAAGTTGAAATGTTAATGAGCCCACTAAACTAAAGTCACGTAAAACATTTCAGGGCATGTTCTCAGGAAATAGAAGCAGAAATATGAAGAGATATAACGGTCATGACGGGTCACAAGAAATATACAAGTTAATTAGAAGTTAAATGTTATCACGGTGTCAAGCCAAGACACAAAATTAATTTATGTGCAGGTTACTCAAAATGGAACATATCTAGGAATGAAATGAAGATAATACAAAACCAATAAATTGAATATGCACCAGTTTAGGAAATTTGACAGTATCCAACTCGCATGCCAAAGTTCTGGACTACGGTACTTCATATCATGTAACTTCTTTTACGGAATTTCTTCTTATTTTATATGAGCTGTAAAGATGGGAATAATATACAGTGAAAATTTATCAGCATGGGAGATTTCAGGTTGGGTACTAACATTGCATGAATGCTGCTCTTGAAGAATGTGTTATATATTCTAGAAATTTTCCTTAATTTGATCTCCACTGGTATCCTTGATAGTGAGGTCAATTGGGAAGCAACAATGATAGTCGTAAGCCGTGTGTTAGGTAACTTAAATGATAGTAGTCAAAGACTCAAATATCACAAAATGTTTTAAATGACGTTGGTCGAATGCAATAAAACATTTAGCGTGTCATCATTTGACTTTAATTGGTTTAAGATAAAATGGTTAATGTCCATATTCTACAAGGTCTATCACGAATAATTTGATGAACGGAAATAGAAGCTCACTATAAGGCCTTTGATAGCAGCTAGTGTCAAGAAAATCAATTATACGTACAAGATCGAGAAGCTTACCGAGGATTCAAGGGAAGGAGGGCTAGGGATGTACGAGGAGGTTTTGTCGATTATTCAGAAGCATGGTGGTTAAAGGGCATTTATAAGCAAGATAACGGTTTGAGAAAATCTATAGCGATGATACTATCAAGGAATAAATTTCACATAAGCTATACATAAGTTAAATGAATAATCAATACATAAAGAGTTTGTATCACTTCTATCAACAATGTTGATATTATAATAGAGAACATCAAGTCTTAATATGGTAATAAAACCTACTAAATTCAAATGAGCAATTCAATCCAACTAATACTCAAACATGTACACGAATTTCAATATTGGTACGACCAAATTAGCTATCATCTTGTGGGGCATGTTAATGAATAAATCCAACATCGGCTGTACATTAAATAAATTATTAACATATAAGAGTTTGAATTATTCTTCTTCACATGACCTTTTAATATTGAACCCCAATCCAAATAGATATTTAGGATAAAATAACAAAGGTAGTATGATAAAAAGCTAACTTGCAACAAACAATATAGCAGGTATGGTAGACCTACCTCCACGTGAGAGGGGAGAGAGATTGTTGAGTGTGTCGTGTCCCACATAATTTAAAGCAGTGAGAAAAAAAGGGGAAAATTTGTGGAAAGATTTCCAAGATAAGGAAAGTTGGAGGATGTACTAAAGAAAAAAAAAATCAAGGAAAGACAATAAAATCAAAGATGAAAACTTAAAAGTTTTTGTCAGTGATTTGAGTTGTATACTCATTAATTATGCACTGTGGTAGAATGCATATGATAAACGGCCAAGCAAAGCCAGCAAAATAGGTGAGATATAAGTCCAAAAAAGAAAGGAGGGAGAGGATTAAGCAACTGAAATGTACAATGATGGAGGAGACTACTGCCGCCTCTAGTGGAGGCCAGCCACCAAAATCTCCCGATTCAGCCCATTTTCCATCACTAACTTCCACATTTAAGCAAGGTCAATCGCCACAAATCTGGGATACAATAAAAAATTTACAATATCTCCTTCAAGTAATGAGTCAGCATGTGACCGAAACTGAAGACGAATTACTCGCAAAGTACAATAATAGAAATATGACTACAGTGAATAAAGTATGATGTCTTAATCTTTAGCTGTTAAATTATACTCTACAAGAAAAATAAGAGAATTTGAGATATTCTAATTAAAAAATCCATGACTTTAAGGAAGTTACTTTTAATCATCTTAGCTTTTCAAAATGACATTGTTGATGATGTTCAAGTCTACGAGTTCAGTGGTTTGGTTCTTGGCTTGCTCTCTTTTACTTATCATCGTAAGATCAAAAACTATTTTAATTTGACGGCGTAGTTGACATCTATCGTGTTGTATAAAATATTAATTATTGATTAATAGTGCGATTAAAAGATAAAGAATCAAACAATGATAAAATGGCTCTCTTTCTCCACAAAGTCTTTGCAAATTAAAGTTAGTGCATTTTGATTGATAGCAACCACATAGAAAATCACTGTCCAAGAAAATAATGGATAAATATCGACTAAAAGATATATTATTTATTGTATCTATCAAATTAAGTTAACCAAATGTTCTTCTTCTTTTTTTATTTTTTTTAATTTTTTATTAACTTCAAACAATGACTTTTCCAGCAATTTTGTTAAATACTTTAATGGACGGCCCCCTGGGGTGTAGTCCAGTTGTGCAAAGGACAGGAGTAGGTTATCTCACACCTTACTGGCAGTCGCAGTATGGGGGTTTGATTCCTGAAACATGGAATTGGACTCTTTGTAGGCGCAGTGTACAAGCAGCTCTTGTTCCTTGACCCACTGGGACACATCCCGAGATTTACCTCCCTCATAAAGCTCTAAGGGTGGGATAGTGGGGGCCCTCAAGGTTGGGGTTCAACCTTTACTTTAATGGACAATACTGGAGTAGGTTATCTCACGCCTTACTGGCACTCGCAGTATGGGGGTTCGATTCCTGAGACATGAAATTGGACTCTTTGTAGGCACAGTGTACAAGCAGCTCTTGTTCCCTGGTCCGCTGGGGCACATCTCGAGATTTACCTTTCTCACAAAACTCTAAGTGTGGGATAGTGGGGGCCCTCAAGGTTGGGGTTCAACCTTTACTTTAATGGACAATACTAGACTAGTTAACCAAATATTTTTCAGTCGTGCTATAGAGCCCGAGTTTAAATCCGGGGCTCCAATCCAAGGCCGAAGTGGAAACACCTCAGCCGTTGATCTTTTGCACTTGGGGGGCCTGCCATCAAAATCGTGGGTAGAGGCTCTGCCACTTCTACCCCTGGAGCGGAACCCGAGATTTAATCCCTGGTTCGTCATCATTTTCCAATAGTTTTTAAAAGGTTTGACCATTGAGGCATTCAAAAATTAGGTGGAGTTAAGACTTGAAAGTAAATATTTTGCCTACTACAACAGTACGTGAAACCTTCACTTCTAAAAACTTATTGAGACGTGACTGATAGTATTAACTAAGCCCTTGTTTGAGCTCTTTTTTTTTTTATCAAAATACATTCTTCAACAGTGATTTAACTTTATTTTAACTCACATTTTGTAATAAAATAATATTACATGTAAATTCAAAATTTTTCTTTCTTTTTTAACCACATATTTTTCATCATAACACTATTTAAAAATGCATTTTTATTTTTTATTTTTGAGAAAAAAGACCCTAAAATAAGGTTATAATATTTTGCAAAACAATATCTTATCCCTTCCCGTACCAAAGATGTTAAAATAATTTCAAATGCTTGCAAAGAAGTCTTAGGTGAATTTTCTAGGCTTATAGGATTAGAGTGCATGTCCTTTGCCAATTGCACGTACGGACAAGTACAACCTGCAACAAATCTCAGAAATATTCTTTTTTTCACGTTTCAATCAAGTAATCAATTGACTTCAAACTAAGCGAGGTTAATCCCTCTAAGAAATTAGTAATATTACTGAAGAAAAAATATTCAATATGCACAACAAAAAGGGTGTGAGTGCCAAGAAAAGTCACACGTAATTGGCTTGAACAAGTAAACTTTATGTGAATCTGAATGAAAAATCTAGAAGCAAAGCTCAGAAATTACAAAATAAATGAATAATATATTGAAAGAGAAAAAGATTGTGCTTAAAAATGTAAGAAAGGCACTACACGTACAGATCAAAAGATTACAGGGTCTTTACAGACACACACAAGTAGAGGTGGGGTGGGTATTTTTGGATAATTTTTGAATAAAGTGGGTCCACCCCATGTGAGTAATCTGTATGTTTTTTATGAAACATGGCTATGTACATATAGCTTTGATCAAAATGTAATAAACTGTGACAAAAAGGAGTTGATAAGGCAGAACTTTTAGTTCTTGGCTGTCAAGTGAAGGTGATTTATAAAAGTTAATTAGCATTAACGTGTGTATATGTATTGTGGGATAGATTATTGCATGTCAAATTTCAATATATTAGTATCTGTGTCTTAGTTCGGATCTTTTCATTTGGACTATTTTATTCCGCTATTTGTCTGTTGTCTCGTCTCTGGTTTGCAGCTAGCTTTGTTAATGAAAGTGCTGGTTTTGCCAAAATGAAAACTAAATAAATAAGCTCTATCAACAACATAATTTCCATCGATAAACTATCAAAATAAGATACACACACACACCACACACATACAAATAGTTAAGAATTTCATTAACAATTGAGCGTCGAAAGTTCATAGAGAGAGTTCCCCACCTTCTTTTTATAAAAAAGTTTTCCAAGATTACTGGTGATTGACAAAGTTTGACTGTAATAAGATGTGTATAGTATTGTGCATAACTTTAATTTTCTAGAAGTCGGCAAGCCTAGCTAGTGTGCTCATTTTAAAAAGAAGACGACTTCTCAAGTTCAACCAATGCAAGTACTTCTCTTTCTAATAGCCAAAAGAAACAAACTGTGGAATATCTACTCTATCGTGCTGCTGTGTGAGTGTGAAAGAACAATATTGAAATACAATGATAATATATATTTGCAGTCCCACCACTCTCCAATGCTGGGAAATTAAGTGTAGATAACATGTAAATCAGCATACATTGGACCTTAATATTATTTGTTTACGATACGTGAAATAATTATGAATATCATCAAAAGATATGGGACAA